TTTATTGGAGAAAATCAGGCCTGCATAACAGGAATGAAGAATAAATGATGGTGAATGCAAGCCATCAACAAACATAATACAAGAGACAATAGACATGGACAAAACCATGCAAACACACATTGCAAAAAAGTGTTTAACAAAAGAGGACTCAAACAGGATAAACTAGAGTAGGCTGGTAGTCCAGGAGCAATGCATCATCTGGTAAAAAGGTGGAAAGTTAGAGTAGGATACACCTGCAGGTGTGCACAAATGGCAGGAGTAAACACTGGGGCGGTAGTCCGACATCCCATCCAGGGGAGCCTCTAAAAAAATAAGAAGAGTACTGAACGACTGCTATGTGGATCAATTAATGCCATCATACTCTGGGGAGGGGCATGTAGCATATTTAAATCAGACCTGAGTACAGAGATTCTTTGAACAAATCTAGAGGAAGAAGAGATGTCAGCCAAAAGATGATTGGCTAAACCAAAGGGAGGGAAAGGGAGATGAAAGATGGGCTAGAGGACACCAAAGGGGGGTGGGGGGTGGGAAAGGGGCATAGAGAGAAGAGAAGAGTGGGGTAAAAGGGGGTATGGGATCCCACTGTAGCAAGCTTAACTCAAGTTTTTCCTTGGGAGCGGTTATGTCTAAACTGTCACAGTAGTGTTATTTTCTTTTCATCAAAGTCTTAACTATTGCCTATCATATCCCTTTACTTTGTGCAGTTTTCAAAATGTTTCCTTTTCAAAATACCTAATCTATATATATATATATATATAGATATAATTATTTTTTTAGACAATCAACTTTCAGTAAATTCCTTATTTTGATGCACAGTTCAAAAAAGGACATACAATATATAATACAGTGTCAAAATGTGTTATTGTCTCCTTGCCATTGTTAGAGTCATCTCATACAGCTAAAGGTGTTGTATATCATTTATCAAGCACATCTAAACTCTCACTAATGTTCTCTTTAATTATCAACCACAATTACCAACACACTGGAGTGAATGGTTCATACATCATAAGTAACTTACTGAGAAGAATCAAGATACAAAGCAAAATTGCAATCAACGCTCCAGTACTCAGTCCAGCTGGGAGTAAGAAAGCTTCTGCATTGCATGACAGCACATTTCCCTTCTTGTCACAGGCACATACTTGTATAGTTAACGTTTCAGTGCTACTTTGAACTGGGTAATCATTGTCAAAAATAATTATTGACAATGTATATGTACTTATTTTATGCCTGTTATATCTGTTTCTCTTTGTAAGGATACTTGCAGTGTTGTCTGTAATTTAGAACAAACAGAGAAAACATTGGAGTTATTTGATTAACAAAAGCAATGTGTTCTAGCAAACATAAAAAGTAAGCTTTACTTACCTTTATTGTCTATGACTGTAAAGTTTGGATTGGCAGAAAATTCTGGAGCCGTCTCAAAGAAAAAAGTATGTCCCCGAAGAGGTTCATCTTTGTCTACAGCACTTACTGTTTGAATAAGCTGTGAACAAAAAATATTTTAAGAATAAACCTGCAACCATATACTCAATTCATGCCCATAGTCCTTTACTGTAGAGCAATGAATGTATTAAGTTATATTTACTAAAAACAACATTATATATATATACACACACACACATTAGCAATGCAACATTTTCAGTGTCTGTCATAGGTGTGATATTCCTGATGAAGCAGGAAAGGTAAAAATAGTGAGGTGAGATGATTTATTGATTGAATGTTTCCCCAAACCTGTTTTATTAGTAGTAATTTTTTTAATGTCTATGTTTACTTCCACTCTAATCAGTGAAAGGTAAAGTAAAGAGTAGTTTCTTTAACTATTAAATTGAGAGAAATACAGAGATTGACATTGCTTGTGCATTTAAAGAAAATTCTTTTTGTCTGGCTTTACCATTTGTTGCCCACATATTTTGACTAAGTATTATCAAGTCAACACTGTTTGGAAGACTATTATAATTTAATCCCATGCATCTATGAACCCCTTCAATTTGTCTTAACATGTCATTAACCAAATGGCTGCTAAAGGCTTGACATCATTTAGAGGGCTTGAAAAACAACATAAAAATGTATTCTTAAAAGTAGATTTTTTAAGCAAATTACACTTGAGAAAGTGGTATGACAAAATTAGAAGCCAGTTTGATAATCTTTAATTAAAGACAAAATGACTCTGATCGTGACTATTTCCCTTTCCCTTTTAATGGTTACAAAAGAGTTTTGAAAGTAGCTAACTTCAACTTTTAGAAAATAAAAATCTTGTACATAAAGGATTTATATTTCTAAGCTGAGAATAAGACATCAGATATTTTTGGCAAAAAATTTGTCTAGGTATCATATTTTAGAGGAAAGATTGTAATTTCTTTGCTTGCTTTCCTTGGAAATACAAACAATGAAACATTTGTTGGGCAGACCTTAACTTTTAGTTTTAGATTAAGTCAATAGTACTTGACAACTTAATAAGATAGAGCAGTAAACTATAAGGAATAATTATCCAGGAAAGTGTCTGACTCTTTTATACAAGTATGCCTGTAGAGTCTGAGTTGATAAGTAATTGCAAGGTAGTGGTGATGAATATACACTTCTTTTTTAAAGATAGTTTGTTTTTCTTTCTTTAGCATAAACCATAAATAACAACTTCATATAAAAAGTCCTCTTTGTTTCAGTCTTATGGTTAGGAGTTCAATAGTTACTACTAGATTATACAACACCACATTGCAATGAAAGGAGTGTATGAGTGGAATGAATACAGGGTCCTCAATTTTTCTAAAATTTTTCCAAAGCTCCTAGGTATGTTTGTACAGATTAGAATTAACCTTTTGTTTCCGTTTAGCTAAAGAGGGAGAACATGCTTCCTTCTGTGTTAATAGTATGACCTTCTTGGCATAGACATATTAAGTATGTAAAGTTTTTTTTATCATATTTAGATACAGTAATTCCATAAGGTTTACACCCCAATCGTCCCTTCAGATGAATATGTCCCTTTGGATGAAATGCGTAGGTAAGAACCTAGCTGTGACATCATCACGTCCATCAGGAGAAGCTGTGGGCATTTGTGATAAGCTATGAATCATTTATTGCTTATGAGTACCCACTAAGTTTTATACATGTTGTTTTAAACGCACTTCACTTTAGAATTTCCTTACTTTCCCCTGGCATTTCTGTGTGGTGCTGAACACTTATGTGAGGCATATGCAGTGACTGTCTGTGGCATGTAGTTGGGGAGAAAGAGTGATTAATGGTAGAATCTGTAGTGAGGGAATGAAAGCTGTGATTCATTCCGAATGTGTCATCTAATATTTCATATATCTTACTGTGTATCAATACAAGTGGACTTGGTAATGCTGGTCACCAATGTGTCCAACTGCATTTTGTTGGCTCCAAACTTTTTAAGCCAGTTCCTGGTTTCTGGTAAAATTTGTCTATGGCTGGTTTTAATATGTTTGGTATAGTGTTTGGTATAGATCAATTTCCATCAATGATAGCAAGGAATATGCAGTTTTATTTTCATGTAGTGCCATAATTTGTCAACTAAAAAATGTCTAAGTTTGACTTGCATTTATGAGTTGATATTTTAGTAACATTATCTAAGATATTTTAGAGGACCAGGACTAATGTGAATGTACAATATACACTCACAGGCTCTTTATTAGGTACACCTATTGGTGGTAGTGGTGGTGTAATGGTGTGGGGGATATTTTCTTGGCACTCTTTGGGCTTCTTAGTACCAAATGAGCATCGTTTCAACTTAAGTATCGTTTCAGTCTACCTGAGTATTGTTGCTGACAATGCCCATCCCTTTATGACTACAGTGTACCCATCTTCTGATGGCTTCTTCCAGCACGATAATGCATCATGTCACAAAGCTCAAATCATCGCAAATTGGTTTCTTGAACATGACAATGAGTTCACTGTACTCCAATGGCCTTCACAGTCACCACATCTCAATCCAATATAGCAACTTTGGGATGTAGTGGAATGGGAGATTCACATGATGGATGTGCAGCCAACAGGTCTGCAGCAACTGCTTGATGCTATCATGTCAATATGGACCAATATCTCTGCAGAATGTTTCCAACACCTTGTTAAATATATGCCACACAGAATTATGGCAGTTCTGAAGGCAAAAGGGGGTCCAACCTGGTACTAGCAAGGTGTACCTAATAAAGTGGCCGATGAGTGTATATACTATATATATATATATATATATATATATATATACACACTGTATATGTGTGTGTGTTAAGTGCTGTGTAAATTTACAGCATTATAAAAGTACATAAATATGGGTGTCTGACGTTTGGATCAGAACAATTTCAGTGCTTTTCAAAGGCAATGTTTTCTGTAGATATTCAGAATAAAAATCATAAGTGCTTCTTGAATGGGGAAGTATTCCTGCCTCTAGGGCTGCATTGAATGTATTAAGTTGAAAACTACGCATTTGTCTACATTTTTTATGTTGTCCAGCTGGAAAACTGCCCAGGCCTGATGGTTTGTGGCTTGGAAAATGTGAGATTACAAATTCTTTTCATAGTCTAGAGGAATAGCATAGATAGAGATGTGTTATCAGGATAGGTAGGTAACTGTTCAAAAGAGTATTGTACGGGAGATGTGTACAATGAGGAGTAAAAGAAGGGGAAATCATCCAGGATGTCATCTGATTGTGTGAAGCTGCCCATTTTATCCCTAACCTTAGGAATCGGGGGGCATACTCATGTCTGGCAAAATAAACAAGTGGACTACCAGCCTTGGTTTAACCACTTGGCAACCACACTATAGCCGAATGATGGCTACAGTGTGGTTGCCCAGTCCTGGTACGGTATCATATGACGTCCTCCCAGAACATGCCCTCCTGCACACCCCCAGCTGATCACGTGTTGTGGTAAAAGGACAATCACAATGGCCTTTTACCACATGATCATCTGTGTCCAATGACACAGCAGATCACCAGGGAAATACAGTTGCCTGTTATCGGCTGCACTTTCCTCACGCTGTCACAGTGTGAGGAAAGTACTGCCGATAACCGGCACTGATGATTAGTGTCCTGATGATAAATTACCCAGCAGTGCCACCCAGACGTTCCACTCACCTGTGCCCAGCAGTGTCACCCACCTGTGCCCAGCAGTGCCACCCACCAATGTCCAGCAGTGCCCCCCATAAGTGCCACCCATCAGTGCTGCTCAGCAGTGCCGCCCATCAGTGGCCAGCAGTGCCACTAGTCAGTGCCGTCAGTCACTGCTACCCATCAGTGCTGCCGATAAGTGCCACCTATCAGTGCCCATCAGTGCCACCTATCAGTGCCCATCATTGCTGCATATCAGTGCAGCATCATCCATGCCTCCTCATCAGTGCCTGCTATCAGTGCTGCCTATCCATGCCACCTCATCAGTGCCCATCAGTGCAGCCTCATCAATGTACATTAGTGAAGGCCAAAAATTACCTGTTTGCAAAAATGCTGTAAATAGAAACAAAGAAAAACTTTTTTTTTTTCAAATTTTTTGCTTTTTTTTGTTTATAGCGCAAAAAATAAAATCCCAGCAGCGATTAAATACCACCAAAAGAAATCTCTATTAGTGTGAAAAAAAATCATAAAAATGTCATATGGGCACAGTTTGCATGACTGCGCAATTGTCATTCAAAGTGTGACAGTGCTGAAAGCTGAAAATTGGTCTGGGCACTTATGGGGTATAAGTGTCCGGTACAAGTGGTTAAGTTTGAACTTCTTTGAGTGGTGTATAGAATTCTCTTTTTTTCATCTTGCAGAAGTAGTTAATGTTCATCTTTTTCTAGCCAGTTTATGTAGTTGGCTCTAAAAAGCTGTAATAGATTTTGCATTCTTTTCAAGTCTGCTATAATAAACATGAAATAAGCCTTTGCACGGTAGCCTTAAAACATTTTCCTCTCATTATAGAGGACATGGTACTATGTGGTTTCAAACAGTAGTCATTGATCCTATAAGTACACACAATAGAGGTGTCATTTAACCAGTGTAGGTTTCAAACACTAGTATATTGTCCCACATATACTGTATGTGCTATGCCAATACCTCAGTTTTGCTCAACTTAATTTACTTTTTTTTTTAATACTACTGATGGTGGTAATCAGTGACTTATAAGGGACTGTGATAGTTGGCAATCAATCTGAGACTAACACTGGGTGAGAACTGACTAACTGCACTGACATCACCAGTGACATTAATATAGTGATAATATTATGGAGACTGTCACTTTACTAATGACATGAGGAACTGAGAAAGATTTTACATCTTGGGTAATCAAGGGGTTAAATGTGTGTCTAACAATGTGTAATGTGTGTATTGTGTGCTGCTTTTTACTAAACTCCCATTTGTTTCTTCTCCCTGCTTCTTCTCCCTGCTCTGGGCTGTGATTGGACATAGCCGATCAGCAAGTCCTGGGCATGAATCATTGGCCAGGAACTGCTAACAAACTCCCGTTAAACCATTGGGCAGGAGTGCACTGTGGATCTCGAGGCCAGCAATGCACAGGTACATCACTGTGCCTGTTTGGGCCCAGGTGGGTGGTCCTCAAGCCATTTACGTTTATCATATTTGGATAGAGTAAGGAATGATTACAACCCCTCTATATGTAATTTTTTGGCTGAGAGGTTTTGCCTTTTAGACAGTTGTCCGTTAGCCTCAATCTGACATGCCGGCATGTATGGTGACGTCAGGTAAGTCTGAAGCCCCTAATCATTAGCAGTTGCAAGGAAATAAGAAATATTTTATCAGTTACATGCCAGTTCATATATTATGGATTTTATTTGCATAAATGTGGTGTGGTTGGTGATGCACGTCCTTCACACCCTGAAGCATCAGATGAGGAAACGTGCGTGGACAGGGCTTCGGACATTTGACGTTACCATACACACCTGCTTGTCAGCTAGGCCAGGTATCGTGGCCGGAGTGAATTGCTTTTATACATATCCTATGCTGTGATACTTGTGTCATCGAGACAGACTACAATAGAGCTTAATGCTTTTTTAATAAAATACTGGTATTAAGGATCTTATGCTAAGCAAGTTCCTTTTCTCTTTCCTGCTCTTTATTTGGGTGGCGGAATGTTACTGGCATCCGAGAATATTTGAGAAGTCTTTGAATCTGCAGATTATTTTGCCCAAAGGGGAATGTGCTGATAGCTGGTTGGTAACTCGCAGCAAACACCTCTTGTGAGTTTATTTAGTATATTTTGGTGGCAGATTCATAACTGTTGAAAAAGGATTAGGCTGTACTAAGTACTACGCACTTGGGACATCATTTGTTCATTGGGGGTTAATAAAACGTGATAATGCTGTGAGATCACAATCAAAATTACATTTTGTGGTTACTTTCATTATAGATGTTGGTTGATGTTTTATGGCACAAGTGTAATTTTTTTGTCATGTGTGAGGGTTACATAGTGCCTCTTTAATGTAAATGTAAGCAAGATGACTGAATGATCAAAAGCAATGTCAAACTGGCCAGAAAAACACTCAATTTCAGTGGGGGTTGAATAATTTTGGCCACAACTGTACATTAGTGAAGGAGAGCATTAAAAATTACCTGTTTGCAAAATATTATAATAGAAACAAAGAAAAACTTTTTTTTTTTCAAATTTTTTGCTTTTTTTTGTTTATAGTGCAAAAAATAAAACACCCAGCAGCGATTAAATACCACCAAAAGAAATCTCTATTTGTGTGAAAAAAAATCATAAAAATGTCATATGGGCACAGTTTGCATGACTGCGCAATTGTCATTCAAAGTGTGACAGTGCTGAAAGCTGAAAATTGGTCTGGGCACGAAGGGGGTATAAGTGTCCGGTAGGCAAGTGGTTAAGTTTGAACTTCTTTGAGTGGTGTATAGAATTCTCTTTTTTTTATCTTGCAGAAGTAGTTAATGTTCTCTTTTTCTAGCCAGTTTATGTAGTTGGCTCTAAAGAAGCTGTAATAGATTTTGCATTCTTTTCAAGTCTGCTATAATAAACATGAAATAAGCCTTTGCACGGTAGCCTTAAAACATTTTCCTCTCATTATAGAGGACATGGTACTATTGGTTTTCCAGTAGTCATTGATCCTATAAGTACACACAATAGAGTCATTTAACCAGTGTAGGTTTCAAACACTAGTATATTGTCCCACATATACTGTAAGTGCTATGCCAATACCTCAGTTTTGCTCAACTTAATTTACTTTTTTTTTTAATACTACTGATGGTGGTAATCAGTGACTTATACTGGGACTGTGATAGTGTGGCAATCAATCTGACACTAACACTGGGTGAGAACTGACTAACTGCCACTGACATCACCAGTGACATTAATATAGTGATAATATTATACACTGTCACTTTACTAATGACATTGGCTGAGAAAGGGTTTACATCTTGGGTAATCAAGGGGGTTAAATGTGTGTCTAACAATGTGTAATGTGTGTATTGTGTGCTGCTTTTTTACTAAACATCATTTGTTTCTTCTCCCTGCTTCTTCTCCCTGCTCTGGGCTGTGATTGGACATAGCCGATCAGCAAGTCCTGGGCATGAATCATTGGCCAGGAACTGCTGACTAACTCCCGTTATGTAACAACCATTGGGCAGGGGTGCACGGGCCCCATATCTCGAGGCCAGCAATGCACAGGTACATCACTGTGCCTGTACGGGCCATTGCAGGTGGGTGGTCCTCAAGCCATTTACGTTTTTTTCATATTTGGATAGAGTAAGGAATGATTAAACCCCTCCTATGTAATTTTTTGGCTGAGAGGTTTTCCGCTTTTAGACAGTTGTCCGTTAGCCTGATCTGACATGCCGGCATGTATGGTGACGTCAAAAGTCTGAAGCCCCTAATAAAGATTAGCCAGTTTAATGGAAATAAGAAATATTTTATGTGGTTACATGCCAGTTCATATATTATGGATTTTATTTGCATAAATGTGGTGTGGTTGGTGATGCACGTCCTTCTGCCCCTGGAAGACATCAGATGAGGAAACGTGCGTGGACAGGGCTTCGGACATTTGACGTTACCATACACACCTGCTTGTCAGCTCGGGCCAGGTATCGTGGCCGGAGTGAATTGCTTTTATATGATATCCTATGCTGTGATACTTGTGTCAGTCGAGACAGACTACAATATGAGCTTATATGCTTTTTTAATAAAATACTGGTATTAAGGATCTTATGCTATGCAAGTTCCTTTTCTCTTTCCTTCTCTTTATTTGGGTGGTCGGAATGTTACTGGCATCCGAGAATATTTGAGAAGTCTTTAAATCTGCAGATTATTGCTTCCAAAGGGGAATGTGCTGATAGCTGGTTGGTAACTCAACAGCAAACACCTCTTGTGAGTTTATTTAGTATATTTTGGTGGCAGATTCATAATGGTGTTGAACAAAGAAGATTAGGGAGAACTGATTTATTTTACGCACTTGGGACATTCATTTGTTCATTTGGGACTTTTATATTGATTGACGTGATATTTTGAGATCACTAATCATTTTGGATTATATTTTTCTCTTACTTTATTTTATAGATGTTGGTTGATAGTTTTATGGCACAAGTGTAATTTTTTTGTGATGTGTGAGGGTTATTCTCACATATTGGCACGGGTTTATTTTAATGTATTTTACATAATTATTATGATGTAATAGGATTGCTATATGATTGCATTAGCATAAATAGCATATAAGAGTTGGAAGCATTTTCAGAAAAACACTATATAGAAAAGTGCAGTGCTACTCATCATTAAGCAAAATTGAACACAGTGTTGTTTTTTCCAAATAGGGTGGCAGCAGCATTAAAAGCATTCACTTATTTTTTGGAATAGAAGTTAATAGCACTGAGGTTTTATAATCATAGTATTGAAAAAGTGGTGTGGCACAATTCTTTTTAAATACCCAATAGAAGGGGATTTTAGCATTTCTTTAACCCAGGGCTTTTTTTCTCAGAGAATAGGTGCAAATACTCATCAAAAGTAGATCCGCCACAGTAACAATAGATCCCAGCCAGAAATAATAGATTAGCCAGCAACAATAGTCCCCTCCTGCAACAGTATATCCCTCTAAGCAATATTAGATCACCAGCAGCAAAAAAAGACCTCTCAAGCAACAACAGACCCCCTGCAACAATAGACAGCTACAATAAAAAATAAACAATAGACAGCTACAATAGATCCCCCAGCAGCCAGCATCAATGGACCCTCCAGCACACCCCAGCATCCCTTGCCATTAAATACATTCACTGCTGGAGGTGCCAGAACTGTATGCTTTCCTGTAATCTAACTGAAAAAAAGTCATGCTTTAATATAACAGGAAGGTTTAACTTTCATTGTCAAGAATCTTGTATCTGAAGTACTATTTGAAGTCAATAGAAATATAAATATACAGTATTAGTAGTATAAGGAGACACAATTGATTTAACTACTGATTATGTGATCTAATTTCTAATTGTAGTTAAAGCTATAGGATGACTACCTTTATTATGTATTTTGGGAGGAGTAAACATGGAAAATACACTGCTCAAAAAATTAAAGGAACACTTTTTAAACAGAGTATAACATCAAGTCAAT